AGATTTGTTATCTTACACAATACAGATTTGTTATCTTACAGTTCTGGAGGTCAGAAGTCCTAAACTCAATGTGTCAGCACGGCTGCATTCCTTCTGGATTCTCTATGGGAGAATCTGTTTCCTTACCTTTTCCAGCATCCTGCAGTCCTTGGGTTGAGGCCTCTTGCTCTCTCTTCAAAGCCAGCGATGTGGCATCTTTGAATCTCCCTCTGACCTCTTCTTCCATCATCACATACCCCAACGTTGACATTTTTTCCTCCCTCTTGTGATGGCATTGGTCCCACTGGACAATCTGGGATAATCTCCCCATCTCAAGATCCTTGACTTAGTCACACCTGCAAAGTCTCTTTTGCCATGTCAGGTAGCATATTTGCAAGTTCTGAAGATTAGGTCATGGACACCTGTGGGTGTCACTATTCTGCCCACCACAGTCCCTAAACTGTTTGAGAGACAAACTGACTCATTCTTCTTCTCTAGCCCAGATCAACAATGCCTTCTTTTTAGTTTTTCAGTAAGACATTTATTGACAATTGGTTCACACACACCTCCATACTAACATATACATTTTGAAATAGATCTCTCCTAAATAAATGTTTAAAGGGAGATGCATAAATAAACGTACATTCACACTCTCATTTTCCCCACACCCAGTGGATGGTCTTGCACTCACAGTCACCTCTCAACCTCCTTTGGAGACCTCTGTTCTGGACAAAACCTTCCTCCTTGCATGCCAGCCTATGCACATCAGACAGCTGTGTTTCAGCTCCAGTATAATGAGGTTCTGAAGAGTATAGGTGTTGCTGTCAATCAGGCAGGTTCAAATCCCAATTCCGCGGCCTACAACCTGTCTGACCTTCATCATGTTGCTCAACCTTCTGAGCCTCAACTGCTTCACTGGCAACTTGGGATAGTGTCTGCCCTACAGGGTTACTCCTGGGAATTAAACATTCAATGGAATGTTAGCAATACGACATTAGATGAACACTCCTGAGTTCAATGCTAGGCCCTGCGATTGGATGTAGCCCTTTGTTGGATTTTGCTTGGCACTCACTTCCTGACACTTAGGCTGGTCACCCCCACCCATCAAAGGCCACTCGCATCCTTTGTATGCGAATTCCCTTTAATTCCCATCTTAGGTTCCCTGGGCTGCAGTAACAAAGTACCACCAGGTGGCTTAACACAACAGAAATGTATTCTCTCACAGTTCTGGCGTCTAGAAGCCTGAAACCCGGGTGTCCGTAGGGGCCAGTATCTCTCTGAGGGCTGGAGAGGAGAATCTTTCTTTGCCTCCTTCCAGCTTCTGGTGCCCCGGGATTCGTTGGTTTATGGCAGCATCAGTCTGATCTCTGTCTCCGTCTTCACACGGTTTTCTCTGAGTGTCTCTCTCGCTGTCCTTTTTTCTTCTTATAAGGACACCAGCCATTGGATTCAGGGCTTATCCTAAGTCCAGGATGATTTCATCCTAGGATCCTTAACTAATTCCATCTGCAAAGACCCTGTTTTGAAATAAGGTCACCATCTGGGGTTCTAGGTGGACATGATTAGGGGCGGTGGGACGATATTCCACCCACTACAATTCCCCTCTCACAGTGCTTTTCTTGCAAGTTCTGGGAGGTGGCTGTCTTTGCCTGAAGGTGTTTGTGTCAGAGTCCAGGGCCCTGAGAATGTGAGGGTCGGGGAGCTCAGACAATAGGCATGGAAACCTATAGTCTTGACTCGTCTAACCCCCATCCCTTAGCCATTAGCATCACTACTTTTCACAAAGAAGAAAAATCACCATCAACTTGTGTTTCTTGTTGCTACTTGGTGTACAACACTCTGGACCTCGCATGGGTTCCCGCTGGGGCTTTTGGCATTTTATGGAGAAAAAGGAGAAGAAAAAGTACTGTTTGATATCACCTGGCAGTGTTCGTGTTTGCAAAATGTCTCCCCCATTAGACGATTCCAATGTAAAATACAGATTAGCGCTGACAAAACCGACCCAGGCTGGCTTTTCTCTTTGATGGTTTCAATTTCAGGCTTATCCATCACAAATGATTGTAATACAAAAGGATTTTGACAGAACAGGGCTAGGAGTTTTGAATTCTTACCTGCAATTTCCAGCTCTAGGGGATAATAGCAGAGAGGAAAACAATAATAAGCGAGGCTTAGGATATGAAAACATGCTGAATTTCCCCCTCGGAGTTTTATGCTCCTAGGCATTCAACAAGTCACTTTTCTTGTCCAACAAATAAGCTCTCTTGTACCAAATTATGAGCTTTACAAAACCTATCACATTTCTCCTTTTGCCTTGAATGTGAGGAAGCTTGGGGGAAATAATTATCAATTTCAGTAATTATTAGCCTAGGTATTTACCCTAGCCAGGCCTTGTCTATGTGTGGC